GGAAGGACACATTCGATGTTGTCTGGTTGCAATGCATTGCATATGTGATAAGGAAATGCTTTCTTTTCTCCTCTTCTTTTCTCACGTTTTTTTGTCTGTTTTATGCCTTTATTAGCCAATGGAAAGTAGAGAGTCAACAACAAATAAGGGGAGATAAAGATGGGGAATGACATTCACTAAAGTCAGTGGCTGGACTTGAACCATTCATGATCTGATTACTCTAATAAGCACTCTAAACCCTTTACCCTTCAGGGTGCCCCAATGCTTCCTTACTGATCTTTGATTGTCATTTAGTTACATGAAGTAGAAATGGTGTTAAAGTGAGGAAATCTGGCAGTTTTTTTGAAAAAAATACTGCCAGATACTGCACATCAATGTCATCCTTTTGTCCTGATTGTCACCATTCACTCGACATCTCCCACCCTATGCCTTGCTTTAACCAATCAGGGTCCAGTGTTGTGTTCATACCATCACTGTACAGTATGTACAATAAAGAGGACCCGCTTTGGCAGATGAATTCAAAGGATTTATCCCTATCACCCTTCCTTAGTGTGCATCTGTATGTCTTTCATGTAAGACATACTGTATATACATGTGCACGCTGTGAAAACAAATTTGCCCTTGGGGACAATAAAGACAATTTACATATCTCTTAACATAATAATGTTTTTGCAGGTAGCATGCAATAGAACAATGTACTACTATTTATACTAACAGTAAATCACACAATAGCAATTATTGTGCAATTATTATGTAGTTTGGGACACAACATTTAGCACATATACCTCTTTTACATGAACCTGAAAAATGATATACAATATGTGAAAATCCCACACTAAAATATGTTAATATGAAAAATATGCAAGTTGCTCAGTTTTTTTCTTGTTGTTGTCTTGAAGCAGTCTTAAATTGCGTGCATTGACAGGCTAAATATGGCTCTTCCCACTATGTTCCCACCCCTCATCACCTAAATATGGACTCATCCGTTGTAGTACATGTAGAGTAGGAGGAGGAGACAGCGGGGTCCTGTGCAGACGCGGAAAGTCCCCAATTATGTGGTAATTCTAGAGAGTGGTTGTGATATTTATTCTTATTGCCCAAAGAACTTGGCATTTATGAGACTCACTACAAACACATTCCCCACAGCACAGGCAAACTGTATGCCCTTTGCACTTGTCCAATCAGATGAAATAGCAGCTGGTGCTGATTTAGGAAGTCTCCAGCAGCACTGTTTATTTAATTCAGGTGCTCTTTTAAAAAATTAAATAAGTTAATTACATTTACAGTAGCTCCTCATTGACAGGGGTTGATGAATGCGGGTGTAATTCTCCACAGCCATGACAAACATGTGCTGGTGTTTCCAGCACAAGGATTGGAATTTTTCATGTGCTGATTGATCTCAGAAATATAATCAAGGTGTTCACATAGTACTGATGGATCTGGAAATTACATCAGAGAAATTTGATGTCAAGTTGTCAATCAAGCATCTTTTATTTAGCAGAATTACTGCCATACATTGTGCCTGTAACACCCCTCAAAGGCCAATCGACTGCACTTTGTGCTTAAAAGGTATATGATTTGACTCAACTGGGTGTGCATTGTATGTAATCAGCATGGAGTCAAAATGTAAAGATGAAAGGGAATGTGTAGAAGTTGCAGTGCCTCTCAGACGCAGCGGGGGCGGCTGGATTTTCAGTGCTCATGCTTTCACAGGGCACAATTTATGGCCATCATGGTGGTCTATTTCTAGCTTTACTGATGGATTCTGCTCAATTATTGTCCATTATGGAGAAAGATGGCCGCGCAACCATGCCAGAAGTTATCGGTTCACACTGCAGGGACATTACATTGAAATCCTCACTGCTCAGCTCAGCCAAAAGTAACCCAAACTGCAATACTGTTGTTCTGGTACAGATTTATGGAATAGTGCCGAACCTTTTTTGGTTCATATTTCAAATTAATAATAAAAAAAATTGTCTAACTGAAAATGCATCTCACACGATCCAGTCCAGGATCCTGACTGTGATTTTGGACCATATGCTCTGAGCACAACATTGCTAATCATTTAACAGTTTTGCTACCCTGGTGCTGACCCATACACCCATAGGCCTACAATCTATGCAATAAGTAAACCCTCCAAAGCCATTCCCCTGCTTTCATTATGTCTGAATAATGGTGAGGAATTGGGAAATAGAGGGTGAGTTCCTATTATTCCTGGCATCGAGACGCTGCAGTGGCTGTCGTCTTGCCAGAGCTCAGGCTGGCAGTCAGCACAAACTGGAGGTAAGTGAGAGCGAGAAGTCCCAGCCAGTTTCCCAGCAGGCCTCCAAGGGCCTCTGAATGCCACCGTAGCCCCCCAGCGGATATTAATCAAAATGCCCGATCAATAATTCTCAAGTGCTAATAAGCACTGGCACATTTTGTGATATGTGAGTCCCTTCATCATTTCAACTAGCCGGAGATTTATAGGAAATCCATTGTTAGGTCCAAGTATGAGGTAATATAGCACTTAGTAAATGAAGTAAAACCAAAAGCCTGGGGTGATTTGTATTTCATTTACAAAGGACATGTCTAATCATTCGGAGTTCCATCTCTCTAAAAAGCAACCAACACAGCTGTAATGATGGCTGTGTTCTTTTATAGCTTACTTACTCAGCAATGACGCAGGAGATAACAGCAAATAGTAAAGCATCGCCGTCCTCCACTGACTGGTTCACTCCCAGATAGCCGTGGGGGACTCCTATCCACCATGGAGTGATTAAAGTCATGTTAAGGAAGCATTATGGGTCAAGTCATAAAATAATTTGATTTCTGTCCCCCTCCACTGTCTCCTATCAAAGTGATTGGTCTCCTGGTCATCTCACTGGCTGACATAATTGTTAATTAACCATTATGGGCTGCCCTCTCTCATCTATATCTCACAGCAATTACTCATTTGACAACAATGCACTATATCACAGTGTGTGATGTATGGACGCAGACCCGTTTTATGAATATGAACCAACTCAGTATCATGAAATTGTTCGCTCTATTCTAGATGCTTTATTTACTCAAGTATTGATTACCATCGTGTTTGTCTCGCATATTTCCTACTGGTGCCTAAGATGATTTAGTTTAAAGTCTTTGCAGCTCTATCTCACTGAGCACCACTGCCTTATGCATGAGCTCTGAAGAACTGACCCTGCTCCTTTTCAACTTTTATCGGTGCAAACTTGCAAAGCAGTTCCTACTGCTTTTTCTTTTCTTTTTTTTACCTTTCACTTAAGTCATCATCTCTTTGCACGTCAAGGTGAGTTGTCTTTTCAAAAATACCACAGATCAGGTAAAGAGGTCCAGGGGGAAGAAAGTTAAATAAAAAGCTCTTTAAAATGGTATTCATAAAGAAAAAGACAAACAATGTACTTGTTGAAAATAAAAGCGCACACAGAAATCCATTCTGATGACAGTTGGAAGAATGCAGGCTTTATGGGGGACTTGAGCCCCATCTTTGCCATATCTTTTAAGCATGATTATTTACTTAAAACAACAAACCAAAGCCCAAAGTCTGGCATTGTGGACGACGGGCCTTTGATTGAGCTCTGAGCTTGAATTCTTAACTAATAAATTGTTCCACGCCTTTGTCTGGGGCATTAACAGCAGTGGTCTGCGTTTTTCTTGCCCTAATCTCAAGAATGCAGCAGCCTCTTGAGAAGCTCAGGGGTTTCCTCCTCTTCCAGAGCCAGGTCTTCACTTTGTTTTCTTAGAGGACTCCCTGGATTGACAGGCCTCACCGTTAGCCCTCTCCTCGGCCATCTGTTTTCACCGATTCTGACTGAACACATCAAAGTCAATCAGGGCTGCAAAGCATTTTAAAAGTCACACACACACACACCCCCGCACTGTGTGTGAGAAATAAAGCAAACTTTTCATCAGGCTCACAAAAAGACACGTTTTGGACTGTGTGTTTGTGTGTATGGGTTTCCATGTGAGGGTGACCTGGGAGGGATCCCTTAGCTCACAGCACAGGTATGAGCAGCTTAGCTTTGTTCACTGCCTGCTCTGACGACAGCTTGGTGAGTCACCTATAGACACATAGACTAACCTCCTTTGGTCAGGTTCCAGCTATTCACTGACAACTCCCTGACAATAAAATAATCATTAGTGAGCTTGAGACACAGCACACAGTTTTCAAAGAGCAAAATTGTCTTTGCATGGTGATAGAAGGGGATAGACGTAGAAAACTTTGCAAATGTAAAACTATCAGCAGTGGCAGAAGAAGTATTCACATCTTTGACTTAAAATATATACAGTAGAAATACTCCATTACAATTGAAAGTCCTACATCTTACTTAAGCAAAATAACATATTTTCAGCAAAATGTACAGTTATTTTATTACTTTTACTAATGAATGAACGTGAATGCAGCATTTTAATGCTATAGCTAGAGTACAAATATAAACCTACAATATTTCTCTCTTAATTATAGTTGGGTAATGTAGAGAAGTACAAAGCAAAGTTTGAAAAAACTCAAAATTGTACTCTGGTTCATTTAAAAGATGGAGGGATTGTAAAGAGAAGGAGGTATTTCTTGTTTTCGATTTTACTTTGGTTAATGTATGAGTATATTAATGTTTGTTTTCTCTGTGGCATAACAAACTTGTATCCCACTCCAATATAATTTTATTTATATCTAATTTGTTTAAATCACCAAAAAAACAAAAGTAGACAACAGTACTTGAGTACTTCTACTACCATTTGAGCATTGGAATAATTAATATAATTACATAATTCACAAGTCAAAACATAATTTAAAATACAAAAACGGTTTGGTACTCAAACATATATGTAATGAAACACAGCACACAATTAAATGTATGGTGTTTTTTAATTTGTAAACAATAACCACTCAGCTAACCCAGAGGTCTCAGCTCAGCCAATCAGAGGCACCAATGAGACTCCGCGTGGAGAGGAGGAGGGTCTTGACTAGTTACCTGGTAACAGCTTCTACACTGTGTTGACAGGATGGCAATGCGGAAGGTTTGGATTTTGTCTTTCATAGAAATGTAAAACTGTGGCAGATATATCGTCAAGGTTTCTTGTAATACGTGCATTCAGTCTTTAGACATTGTCCGACTGGAAGCTTGAAGCTCGTGTCGTTTGAAAGACGAAGTAAAGTTGTCCCGTGTCTTAATGGGATAGCAAACACACCTGTGCGAATTTAACGCCATGCAGTTCCGTTTATATTGAAAACAGCCACCGTACTCTCTAATTCACGAGTTAAATGAGGTCAGAGTTACAATATTTTAGAGAAACCAGCAGATAGTTTGCAGCCGAGCGCTTTGTGTCAGTTTTAAAATGTTTATATTTAACGCACTCGTTGCTGCATATCTTTGGCAATTATAGCATTTTCCATTTGGCCATTCAGTGATTTATTGTGTTTAGACAGTGTGGTTCAGAATGCATCTAGCTGTATTTATTGCTTATCCTGGTCTGAGATAAATACTAAGTCTACATTTGCAACTTTGCAGCACGTTATGTAAATGCGGTGATGGACATGTATATTGTGTTTTACAGGGTTTGACTTCTAAAGCTAGCAACAAGTTGGTGCTCAACTCTGCTGCCTTTCAAGACCACATCACACGCAACCTGCTGCATCCAAATTTCCTACTTTCTGACCCTTTTCTGAGAGGCAAAAGAAAAGCACCCAGAAGAAGAGTGGAGGAGGAAAGGGGTCTGCAGACACAAGATCAGCAAGAAGAGAGAGAATATGTGCTTGATTCTGCTCCACCCCCTTTAACATTAGGTAAAAAAAACACTCGTAACACTCACAAAAAGACTGTATTTCTTGTGAATATATAACCAGTATTTTTTTCCTATGTGTTCTAGCTCAGAAGTGGGGTTTGGTGGCCTCCCCTGCAGGGAGAATAACGGAGGACGAATGGACTCGGGTCAAGGCGAGGTCTGTTCAGCAGGGGGACTCGGCACAGCCCTGTGCAATATGCAGGGAGGAGTTCTGCCTTCAGCCTCAGGTGTTCCCCCAACACAGTAGCTACTGTTAATACTCTGCGAGAGAGCTCTTTCTTTCTGTCCTTTTTTTTGCATGTTTCCAATGTTCTGTCTGTCCTCGGGGAAACCTGTGTTTCCGTATACACACATGAGCACATACACAAAGCCTCCACCTCCCCCCCCCCCTGCAGTTCCTGTATGTCCTAATCTGTGTAGACAACTGTACAAATTTACCCATACTGCCTTGGAACTCAACTGTGACGTGATGATGTAGCAATCAGTGTGTTACTGTGAGGGTCATTCAGTCCTTTTTACACCTTTCCGATCCCCTTTTAAGATGCCAATCTCCTCAAGAATGTGGGACTAGAATAGGCGGCCTCACAAAGCACAGTTGCCATAGATGCGCATGTAAATATTAGTCTGACTCAGGGAGACAAAAAAAAAAGTTAATTAGAGCCTGCTGACAAGGGAAAGTGAAAGGAGGGAATCTTTGTTGATTTGGCATTTTCCTGCAAACCTTCATATTCTAACGATGCGCTTTTTTGTGCCACAGTCTTGCAATCGAGCATTAATATGACAATTAAAAATGCTTACAGCAGCAGTTGTTCTGAGTCAGCTGTGTTTGTTATTATTTTAATACAAGTCAGAATTTTTTTCTGTAATAGGAATGGATTTAAAATGAAAATGGTACTCTGCTTTCTATTACGTTTTTATTCCCTTTTTCTATATTGTGTCCATAAACCGTAGCTTGCAGCCTTAGAGCATTGCGAGAAATTTCTCTGTGGTCTAATAGCTTGTCGAGCTCCTGGAAATTGTACACTGCAGGGGGCCCTTTCACTGGTGATGGAGTGTGTTGGTCAGGCCAAAACAATGGGAAATCAATATGCCTCCCCCCTGCCCTCCAGAGATCTGAGTAAACTGGTTTGTGTGCCAAGCCCAATAGCTGTGGTTGTCTCCTTTCAGACCATAAAAGAATCCCACTCACAGGTAGAAGAGACTATAGTCCAGGTCCCAGCCGGCCCACCGGGGGTCCCGCTGACTCCCTCTATCCTCTCAGCAAATAACACTTAAAAGGCAGATACACACATTCTCATACGTGCATGAATACACACATTTAGCATGGCTTAAGGCTCAAATACACACACACAGCATGTGCACAGACTGTATACTGTATGAGAGCTTTTTTTGTAAGCACTTGAAAACCTGAAAACCACTACACGTTCAGCAGCATCCCCCCCCGGAGACATTTCAAACCATATAGTCGGTCAACCTATGAAATTGCATGCATGATACAATTTCCATTTCAGATGCACTAAATAACTAATGTCACTGTTTCTTTGTAGGTGTTGCTGTCGTGTTCTCATGTTTTCCATAGAGCGTGTTTGCAGGCCTTTGAGAGGTTTTCTGGGAGGAGGTGCTGCCCAATGTGCAGGAAGGAGCAGTATGAGACACGGGTGATTCACGATGCAGCTCGCCTCTTCAGACACCAATGTGCCACCAGGTACATGCACTAGATTAAAAAATGCATAAAATACGTTATAATAATGGTATGGGACGGACAGATTCACAATAATGCACAATAACAATTCATCACACAATCTCACCAAGTAATGAAACATCTTGTGCTGAAGGAAAAAATATCCTCTAATACTAAAATATGTTTTATACATGAAATAATTAATAGTGATAATAAAATAAGTAATACTAGTTGATCTGCTGTTAAATAATTTTATGTATACAGCACATTGCTATTATGAATAAAGTGAATCTGCTTTACATTAAAACATGGAGGCATGATCAAACTGCTCATATTGTAGTTGCGCATACAGTTTTATTCATAAAATCCATGTTTGTACAGAAGTTGTCGTTTTGTGCTTTTTGTGTCTTATTTCAAAATGTTTTGACGGTGACTTTTTGAATGTATTTTGTGATTATATGTGTGTGTAGAATTCAAGCATGCTGGCGAGGCTACCTTGCTCGAAAAAGGTACCGAAAATTGAGAAAATCCGTCTGGCCAAAAGACAAACGGCTGCGACGGAAATTCTTCGAGGCAAAGGTGAGTTTCGACTTGAGATCTGCAGCGATCACAACGGGGTCTTATAGATCAATCACGCTTCTCTGGATCACACTGAACATACATAAGGTCACATTGCCTAGCATCTGGCTCCTAACGTTTTTTCCCCCTACATTTCACTCTGACATTTTCAGACTGTTTAGTTAGTCAAACAAAGCTTGCGACGCACGTCGAGTCTTGAGGGTTTCAGGGACTCGCTGACCCCACCGCTAACCTACAGACACACCTTCACCTGCTCTCACCCTCTCAAGCTTCTTTGATGCTTTGTGAGTCATACACTGATTGTCCACTAATAAGGAGAGAGTTTTGTGTTTTAGTCAAACAGTGTGACATTCCAGGGTCAACACAAAAGCTCGACGTCTCCTATGCATGTTTGGGTTCTGGTTTTCCTTCATCTATATATATATATTTATATATATATATATATATATGTATGTATGTCTGGTGTGTGTGTCAGAATCTTTGTTCCTGTGTTGGATGGAAACGGGTGAAGAGGTGAGGTTGACCAGGATGTTTGGATACCTGATGCAGGTTGTCATTTCAGGCTTTGTTCTATTTGTCCAATTTGAAAGCTATAAATCATGCAACGATTGGACTTGATGATGGGATTATTTTAGAAATTGGCCTGAAGAGCAACCAGTGGACGGGGTCGTTTGACTCTCAGGCTGTGTTGCCTTCAGGGTGGCTCTCAGGAAAAGGGAACATTGCCACCTAGTGAACCTCCCCCATTTGAAGCCTTGGATGACCAGAGATGAGTCTGGTCACCGTATCTTTACACCAAACATCAGTTCCTCAGGATTGCAGAGTCATTTCTCATACAAATTCATCTAATAACCCTGCTTTAAAATGGTCAGCTCCAACACATGCAACCTATGTCCAATGTCTTAAAGGCCCTATTTATTTCTATGTTGAGATGTAATCATGCAGAGTGCACTGCACTTCAAACGGGCTGATTAAGCACGAGTGACAAATGTGTGAGGGCCGCACTGTTAATGTGTTCCAAGGGTCGGAGTGTCCTACCCATCCCCCCCCCCCGTCAGTCTCTATCATCTGGCCTATAAACCATGCCTTAGCGTGTCACGTAAACAAAGACATGGCGTTTACTGGGCCAATTAACTGTGTTCTAACACATTAGGCCATGTCCTGGTCCACATAGTGTCACATGTCAGCCACTTTACATTCACGTTGTGTGATTCAGTGGTTGTGGGTGGTCATGAGATTGTCTCATATCTTTTGTCACACTGAGGATGATCTTCAAGAGCTGTGAGCTGCGCTACACAGCGCTGACAGGTCTGATTGACTTGATTTTCAGCGGGAAGATGTATTTGCTTAGCTGACTGTAATGCAAATAGACGTGTTGGTGCCGGGCTGGAACCTGTGCGAGACGGAGAAACCTATTCTTTCAGTATTCCTTGTGATAGCAAGAGGCCATAAAGCATCTTTGTATGACGAAGCCACAGGTGTTCCTGGAAAAAAACAAAAACATATCGGCCCAGTTTCAGAAATCTTATCAGCTGATCCTGATGCCCAGCTTTCAATTTTTGCTCACTTCGGAGGTCCGACCCTGAGTCAACACATTAAGGGGGACACTACCGACATCTAGATGGATTGCCGTGAGATAACGCCTCTGCGCTCCTCCTCTCTCTGCTCTCCCGTCCACATCTCCTGCAGAGAGAGCAAGGCAAAGTTCACCAGAGCTGTACTGTTTGCCTTCAGCCAGGCTCATAAAACCCTCCATCCAAATGGTCAACTTTGGTTTAATTAGTGATAAAAACCTAGCTGTAAAGCAATTCTGATGTCACTATGATAGGCGAAGGGATGGCGCTTGTATGTGTGTGTAGGTGTGTTTATCTGTGTGTTTGTGTGTGTGTGTAGGTGTGTCACGGACAGAAAACAAATGCATGTGTGGAAGCAGGTGCTGAGGCTAATGCCACTCTGAGTAACACTGAGCAGTAATGACATTGCATTTCCCAGATGTAGTGCAACACATTAATGTAGAGCTGCATCTATTAGTTGATTGACCAAAAATGATCGGCAGCAATTTTGGTAATCAATTAATTTGAGTCATTTTTGATGGAAAAATGCCAAATATTGTCTAGTTTCAGCTTCTCAATTGTGAGTATTTTGTTGCTTTTTTTTGTCTCCTCTGATAGTTAACTGAATATCTACCTGCGTTGATCTGTTGTTCAGACAAACAAGCATTTTAAAGACGTCACTTTGGGCTTAAGGAAATTCTGATGGTTGTTTGTCATTATTTTATGACATTTTATAGACAAACAAGCTAGTGATTCATTGAAAATCAGCATATTAATCCGTCAGTTACAGCCCTACATGTATAGTTTTGAAAATGTTGAAGAAATAGTTTTTTCCAGAGCTTTCAGCCACATCTCATGATCTTCCATAAGTGTTATCATTAACTGAAGATGTTGTTACTTACGTTATATGTAGACGTTTACGTTAATTGATCAATTGCTTAGTGCTGTTGGAACGTATACTGCATATAAATAGCCTATTCATCGACTATTGAATATGTTTTGGATATAAACATGCGTATGCAGTCATTAATTGTTGCCTAGCAACAGCTGCTGTAAATGGGAGAAGCCAGATGAGTTCTGGGAGGACAGACAATGGAAAGAAGTCTTTAAAGTCAGTCAATTTGAGAATGTTCGAGGAGACCGGGCGCTTCCGTTTTAATTATATTTTACTTTTTTTTTTTTTTTCCTCCTCCACTCAGCCAGGGATGACATCATGGTGGGGAAATAAGGACTTCTTCTGGCTAAACTGGTCCAGAAATGGGGCGTTATTTCATCCATTCCAATGATTATAGAAGTCAGTGAGAAGAACAGAGATTAGTAATTCCAGGACACGTCATTTGTAACGTTTAGTTGATTAGTTTCAGTAATATGCACAAACACAGTGTACAAGACAGAGGACACATGTTTATGATTGTGTAGAAGACGGAAAAGGTGTCAGGTTTGTTTTCCAGTTTTCCTTTTTTTCCTGGTTTCCATTAATTCTCCGTGTTAGTGCGAGATGTGACTGTATTGATCTGGCTGTTCAACAACTGCACCCTGTCAGCATGCCTCAGCCATTACAATACACACAAACAATTAGCCTTCGCTGAAAACACGACTCTATTGTGTATCTGAATGAAACATGCCTCCTTTGTGCCACTAAAATGCTTTTTTTTTTTTTCTCATAAGTTGCAGGAGTTGAATGACAGCTTTGTTCGATACTGTCACACCGACACGGAGGCTTTTCTGACTGATATCAACCGCTCGCTGTCATCAAGCAGACGAGTGTTCCAGCAGCTGGAGAGAAAGCATGTCTCTGAACCTCAGGAGAGCGACTGGGACCGAATACAAAGCCAGGTCAGGAACAAGTCACACTCCGCTGAACCAGAAGCCACTTCCATCATTAAACAAGGCCCCCGTAAAACTCTCTTCCTCCTACCAGCCGTGCCTTTCCCTGGACATGTTAACGCTTGCATGGGGACAACAGCATCCCAGCTGCTGTATAGAAAGCACGCCACTCCAGTGGTGATCATTGACTTTATCAAATGAATGGCAGTGGGTAGGCTAATAATCCTCTGTGTTTACAAAACACATGACCCAGTCTGATGATGCACGGCAGGCTTTTCATCATCTTGACTGCCGTGGAGGGATTGAAAAGACATTAAGATTTGCTGTTCCATAAGGCTCCATTGTTGGCTTTAGTTTGCAGCCAGTACCATTTTCCATAGAGGGAGCAGGGGGGTGCAAAGAAGATGTTTTTTTTTTTTTTCTCCTTCTTCATCTGGTGTGAAAAGGTTGAGCACAAGGCAGGAGTGGCTCAGCCTTGACATGGAGTATCAAACGGTGAATGTGCTTTCAACACATACCGTGCACCTTTTTCACGGGTGCAAACTCTATAAAGCGGAGTGCGGCGCGTTATGAAACGTTTAACGGCCGGGCACGTTGGCCCCTAAAAACAGGAAGCTGTCTGTGGTTAATCATTGGCAGAGCTGTGCGTGTGTTTCTTTGTTTTTATAAGGATCGCTGATAAACATGTTGGCACCTCGTCTGATCAAACCCGTCGGGTAGTTGCTTACAGATTTGGTTTAGAGTTCTTTATAATGACATGGCAGTGGCAAGGATAAAGTCTGTTATCTCCCCTTCCACATAACAAGACGTGCAGAAGTTACCTCGGATAGGAGGCGTGAATATTCTTGAGGTAGTCTAACTTGTGTTGTGCGTTTCCAACACCAACAGGTTGTCCAGAGAGGTGTCTGGGACTGCCCCATCTGCCTGACTGCTTTGTGTAGCCGAAGCCTCCCAACAGAAGCCGGTGCATCCAGCCATCAACAACGCAGACGCACCGTGCTCCTGTCCTGTTCCCACCTCTTCCACCAGCTCTGTCTAGAGGCCTTTGAGGCCTTTTCTACTGAGAGCAGACCTTCCTGTCCCCTGTGCAGATCTGCCTACCACAAAAAACTCATCTAACCAGGTACACATTTCATTTAAGATGGCGTCACATCTAGCATTAACTTCAGTCTCTGGAAACTCAAATGGTTCTTTGTACATTATTGTTTGTGTGCTGGTCAAAGATGCACTTTGATTTTGAATTTTCAACTTAATGCTAAGCTCATCAGGTTCTGGCTCTAGCTCCATACTTACTGCAGGGCCAAGAGAGTGGTATCAATCCACTCATCTGACACGGCCAGAAAACTGAATAAATGTATTTCCCAAAATGCCAAACTACTCTGTCAACTCATCTGTCAGTATTAATGTCCAGGGTGTCACAATGATGAATGAAAAGATGCTCAAAGCTTTTTTTCTATGTTTATTTGCAAACACACAAACATGAAAAATAACTAAACATACATTTAGCAAACTGAGAAATCGTAAAAAAAAATACATTCACAAAAACATGTACCAAAAATGACATGCAGCGACCAACTGACATACAGAAAACAAAGCTGCTTCACTTACAGGCTAACTCAACTTTTGAAACCACACACACACACACACACACACACACACACGAGATGTACTGTAAAGGCAACCAAAAAAGCTTGCTTGAATAGAAAGTCTCTGTTCTTTTTGCAACGTTTTATGAGGAGAGCGACACTTCACGTCCCGCAGAGCCAAAGTCTGCAGCTGAGCGGACGTATGCACAGCTGTGAGGGAAGTGGGAAACATCCAACTCAAGCCGTATAGTTAATGTAGTTCATCCAGATCAAGTCATACATTTACTTTAACTTTCACTAATTCATCCAACATTTAAAGTGATATTTGGCTAATTTATAGTATCATCCCTTTGGTCCATGTTGATTATTCACAGTATCCAATGAAATGGCACACAACATACTAGAACATCTACCAAATGTTTTTGCCAGTTAAGAATCACAAACACAGTCTTGCTTTGGGTTTGGGATGGTAAGAGCTGTATACCATTTACCAAACATTCTCGCTTCAAGTTGCTTATTTGAGAAGAGGACTTCACCGTGAGTTTCACAATTGAGAGTTGTAACATTTTCTTTAAATCCAGTCTTTGTAACAGAGCAACCACCAATGGTAGACAGCATTGATGTAAAACATTCCCTGTCCTGAGAAACAAGTTTCAAATGCATATTACATTTCTTTAATTCCTTTTCTTTTGTCATCGTGTCACCATGAAAACACGTGACATCTACAACGCCGTAGAGATAACATCATTGGATCACTCAACCCTATCCTAGCAACTGCTTAACTTTTATGGGTTATGAATGAGTCTCAAAATGAAGCTTCTCACTAGATAAGAGCTACTGTGAAAACATTCCTGGCCAAAAGCAATGTGTACATTATATCCAGCTGGCTTGAGACTACGAACTCTGTGGCTCACAGTGGAACTGTCTCGAGACAAACGATGTACTTGTACACATGCGTACGTGTACATTAAACAACAAGAAACAACCTTAACATGAAGCCTGCGAGATGCTTGTCGTATAAGGCATTTAAGGTGGTTCTGGAGACAAAGAACGTCACAGTTCAGAACAGTATGCAGCAATACAACTACATGTAAATTGAGCCTGAGTCACCAAGTCTTTCTACCGGCTGCAAAGTTGCACATTTCCACTCATGCATTCTGTATGCGAAGACTGTTACAGGCTTGCATTAGATTTAGGTGTTCATAAAAATAAAAAAAATATATGTACAACAAAATACAGATTGCTTAGTGAGTCAGGAGCCTAATATTTACATCCAAATAATGCAAAAGAGGTATGAAATATAATATGTACATGTAAATACAACATTTACAAAAATGACAAACTATTTGACAAATTGTTGTGTGCCCTGTGATTTGAAATTTTTTTTTTTGGGGGGGGGGAAATGTGCATAATAAAATTCTCTGAAATACAACCAGACTCAGCTCCGAATGCACCGAAGCATTCTGCTCTTTGGCACCGAAGTGGATGCAGCTCCCGTATAATTTCCCATTTGTAGAGTAGCTCGAGTCTAATCTAGAGCACCTAAATAAAGTTCTTACCCTACTTCATACGAACTAATGACATCATCAATAAAGTTAAAGCGCACTTCAGTAAAGCCAATAAAGAGACTAATGAGGCCCGTCGGTAGTGACGGTGCCAATGCATATAATGTGAGTTGTATTGATGCCGTGCAGTTTTAATGTATTGGATGTGATGCGTGAATAAGTGACTTCTTTCATGCTTCACAAAGCACATTTTGATATTTTCAGCTTAAACAAATAAAAAGAGAGGATAAATCGACACCTTACCATGCCTGCATCAGTTCACATAAGACCAATGATTAGAGACACCAATTACCATGTACATACTGACATACAAAAATGACTAATTGGATTGCGGGGGTTTATTTCCTAAACTGGGTTCAGAGGAGGAACCCGTTGCCCTTTAGTTGGATGTAAGACATTGTTTGACCTGCTTCATCGTCTTGCTTTTGTCTAGTGCAGTGGCGAGGAGGTTGTAGAAGGAAAACAGGGAGCAGTGCTGGGGAGGTGGAACGCCCTGAAGCAATAGATGGCTGGTTTAAAGTCACTGCAGTGATGCCAGTCTATTTCACTCCTCGGTCTCATCCCTGGCTCTGTCCCGGCTTCCATCCGAGACGCAGAGGATGGAATGTCACAAAGCTAAATTGCTCTCAGCCTCCATTTGCAGCATCCGCCAGACACTGCCCGGGTTTATTAAGTTCCTTCCAATCCCTTTTACCTTTCAGTAGTCAGGCAGTACTGTCGAAATCTCCCTTTGGCTGTGCTAAGGTGTGTGTGTGTGTGTGTTGATCTATCGTCCCTTTCACAGAGTTTTCTGATGCCCGTTGGCCGAGAGCTTTCCAGATTCAGGGTCCGTGGGGCTGTTTGACAGTTGCAATTTATCCAGACCTGGGCAGGGGGAGATAAGGGAGAGAAATCTCATTAAAAAGCCTCAGACTTTCACTTAGACAGAGGTATTGATGTGCTTTTCCCCCCCTCAGTGCCTCTGTCTGACATTTTCTAACCCTATCCCACCCCGTGTATCAAACATCCAGGGCCTGTCGCCACAAGCCTTTGAGACTAGCCCCATCCTCTGTCATATGTCAGTCCCGCAGCACATTGGCTCTAGCTCCATTTTGTCACTCAAGGTTGTGCCGTCTAGAAAAAAAAGAGAGAAAGAAACACTTTCTTCCTCCAAAGCCGCAGAGAAGGTTGGTGCTGTCAGTGTGTCGGACGCAACCTTCACTTGTACAAAACTGGGATGAAATAGAGTACTCAAAGTGTTTCACCAAATAGATTGCTTTATATTCTGCAGAACATCCAGCATATCAAAGGCAGACACTGCAGGACAATGACATTATGTGGTGCAGTCTGGCTTTATTTTGTTACAGTATATTAAAAAGGCGCTGGTCAGAAACCCTCAGGACACATGAAAAATAAATAGATTAATTTACCCAAGGCCTTTAGAAGCTCTTCCCGTACTGCCGAGGTGAATTTTCTCACGAGACAGAGTGTTGTCACGACCGCAAACAGCAGGTTGTACGAAAGAACAATGTAAAAGTTTCCCAGCCAATTAAATCTCCCGAAGTCTCCCAGGAGATCAAACCTGGTGATACCTGTGTGGGACAGAGAGACAAAAAACTGGGTTGGAAAAAGCAAGTCGACACTCATTTGGTTTTCTGTGATAGCCCCAACCAAGACATTACATTTTCCCCCTAATTACTATTTCAATTTGACTTTCTGTATTGAGTTTTAATATGGAGGTGTGATGACCAACAAGCAAGAGACAGAAACAAACCCACACACACTTACACAATCAGCCACTGATCCACTGCCCTGTTATGCTTCTTTTCATAACTTGACTGTGGCTGACAGTATTGTAGGGACTGTTCCCTGTGGACTATGAAAGGATGGGTGACTAAGTATAGCAGCAAAGGTGCTACGCAGGTACGCGTCATCTCTCGCAGGACCTTCAGACGGAGACAAAGGAGCGCTTTCTCCTACAGACTCGTCTTACTGTAGCTCCACACTACTACACCAATTTCAAACCATCTGTCACAGCTGATCGCATGCTGCCTCAAAATCCATAAACACCCTATTGTTTTCCCGCTTATCCATTTTGGTCTGTCAATACACAAGTCGAGGCCAGCTGTGCCATCCAATAATAAAGTAGTGTACATAATTAAGCTTCCGATAACCTGATGTGTACATACATGTTAAATCCATGCACCACAGCCAGTTTCTATTCCAGTATGCAGAAATTAGACTCGGATGTAGCCCACTGCAGAGGCCGGAGTCTTTATACATTCTACTTCTCCTGTAACATCTTCACAGCCTCTGTCGTCAATTAGATTGGGCAATCGATTCAGTGTCTAGAGAGATGTATTTACAGCCGCAGTAAGCAGTTTGCAAGCATCAAGGACCTTTAACAAAATTGCCTGTGAAGAGACGACGGAGACCCGAGTCGATGCAGCTCGCCACTGTGGTCTGGCTACATCCTGTTCTAATGCCAAAGGTTTTGATCTTGGTTTGGGGTTAAAGAGGTGCTTGGCAATAATCCAAAATCCAGTGAAAAAAACCCATTGCCGCTTTGTCGAGGGAACCCGTACGATGCTAATTTACGGCAGCAGTCTATTACAAAAAATAATAAAAAGGTCCTCCATTCTGCAAACCTGGACTAAAGATAAGAGGAGTTTGTTAAACAACCAATATGGTGCAAACACTCTTTGTGTTGTGGTACAGTTCCCCGTCTCTTATACAGTGAGTGCATATTTCCCACACTGACCTGCACAAAAACAGCTCATCGAGACACAAAACCCTTTATTTTGTCTCTTAACATTTCACTTCGTCAAACTCAACTCTCCAAGTCTTTTTCTTCTTAAGCTGGGAGGCCTTTTCTCTTCAACTCTGTCTCATGCATTTATTCCTTTTAATCTATTCAGTGTCACAAAGCAGAACCTGTTGATATTTTGTAAAGCTCCCAATGAGTCACTGTATGCTCGCTCCGTCCCGGTTTCCCACTCTGTTTGTCTCTCTCACACACTCTCTCTCTCACACACACACACACACACACACACACACACACACACACACACACACACAGAGAGAGTAGTGCTATTTGAACAGCTGTGCTCTGCACTCTGCATGTTTATTAGTGCCATTGTGACGGTGCTACCCCTGTCATTTTTACCCCTGCACTCTTTTCTAATGTCACTATGGGAAAATATAGGAGAATTCAACTTGCTAACCTTAATGGTCTGCTGTTTGTGGCACTATCTGAAAACAGTGGTGGTGGGGGGGCATTTACTCTTTCTGGTTGTTATGACATCTCCGACAATTCAGTTCAACCTACATTTTAGGTTTGATATTTAGGGAAATAGCGGAATTAGATGAGATCGATTTCACAGTATGAATACAGCCAGCAGCTGGTTAGCTTAGCTTAATATAAAGACTTAAAACAGAGGGACTCACCGAGAGTTCTGGACATCACCGGCAGGGCTGAACTCAGGACCAAAATGGAGACGCAGCAACCAATGATCTACAAAATCAACACGTAATCAAACTTACGATGGTTCCAGCATGTAACGTACAGTTATGAGACGTGTGAGGAGAAAGCAGCCATTGCACCAACAGTTTCAGCTATGACGTGCCCACACACATGCACACATCACTTGGTGTTAAATTGGTTCCACATATTGTACAATTAGAACCTCTGAAGTTGCTCATTACCAGGTTTTCTCTGTTGTCCTTTCAAGCCCTTTCACTGGAGCGTCATGGCTAGTTAACAAGCCTCACCACTCCCAAACTCATTACCAAGTGAATAGATGCCAAACAGAGCCTGCCCCCCCCCCCCCCCCCCCCCCCCCCCCCCCCCCCCCCCCC